AGAAGGGTGCTCACAGGCTCAGGGTGGCAGAGCTGAGATTCAAAGCAACAATTCTTTCCACATGGCACCTTCCTCTCCAGTTCTCCGGGGCAGCACAGCAAACACAAGGGGTCTGGCTACAGGGCAATTTCAAAATTCCCCAAACCGGGACAAAGGGAGGAGGCAGCACACACAGTGGGTGAGAAGTCGCCTGCTCTGTAAGCCCTGCGCCCTGTCCAGGGACAGTGAGGGCCACTTAAGACTCAAGCACTGAAAAGACAATGGTGGACTCTTCTCATGTAACATTCTAAATAAAAGTATCACTGTGACATAAAAAAGTATAAATCCCATAAAATTCTGATTTTTCCCATCTGATGATTATTCTCAGTTTTGTTTTTTTGGAACACCAAAAACTTTTTCTCCCCATTTCTTTGTCCTGATAGAGTGTGCTGAGCTTGCTCATTGGGTGCCAGCAAGTGAGCGAGCCTGCAGTGGCTGTAGCAGCTCAAATGTCTTTCCTGGGATCTTTCAAGAAATGTGTTCATTGTCAAGCGGAGGAGTCTTTGGGCTTTCCAGGCTGGCTGTATTGCACAGCAGATGTACAAGACGGCCACATCTGCAAGGCAGGGTTCTTTCAAGGACTGCTGGCTAATCCAGCTCCTGGGCTAGAGCTCAGGCCTGCTGGCTCCAGATCTGGGAGACTGTACCCCAAAGGCTGGGGCTCTGCTCCTACTGCCCCAAAGGCCAGCTGTGAGCTCCTAGGAGAGGCTCATCCATCCCCTCAGGATTTCACTCTCAGATATAAAATGAGGCCTCCCAATACCCCTCATACACTCTAAGGACTGGGGTAAGAGCCACAGTGGACAGTGAGGAACCAAGTGAATCTTACGCCAGCCTCTTCCTGGCACACAGGCAGTAGACAATAAAAACCAAAAGAATTGAGACTGAGACGAGGAACACCTCCAGGATATCGACCCGCCTTCTGATTATGAAGCCATTGGATATGGTGGGTTAAATAACTTACCCAAAGCCATATGCTAGTGAGCTAAGGAATCAACCTGAGAATGTGCCAGACCCACAAGGCTGAGGCTTCCATCACTCTACACCAATCAACACGCAAACCCACGAAGTTTCAAAAGAAAACAGCCTAGGGCCGGGGATTTAGCTCAGTGGTTTTGCTGCCTGCCACGCAACCACAAAGACCCGAGTTCGATCCCCGGTACCAAAAAAAAAGAAAAAAGAAAAGAGCCTAGGGGGTGAGGACTAACCCTCACAGATCCACTGGGTTGTTCCAGGAACTGTACATACATTTTTCATGTAAGCCTTGCCACACCCTTACATGGTGGGTTATCAGAACCCTCACTTCACAAGGGGAGAAACTGGGACACAGATAAGTCACTGGTGAAGCCCAACCAGCTGGCAGTGGAGCCAGGACTGGAGCCACTTGCACACCCTGGTGGCCTTCACTGGGCTGCTTCCAGAGAATAACCCTTCGTGGAAACCAAAATGATCCCTTCCGAGACAACTCTCTTTCGGGACTTATCAGAGATTACAGCAGTGTGCTTTTGTGTAGAACTCAGACTGGCCAAATATTTACCAACCCGCACAGAAAGCTGCAAACTAGCCTGGCAGGGGAATCAATTTCACAAAGTAGTGAGGGCCAAGCTGTTGCTAGACAAAGTGGAGGATCAAATCCTCACTATACGGGAGGATTCAGACAGCTCAGCTTTGGGCAGGGACACTGAAGGAGACCCAGTAAAGCAGCTCAGAGGCCCAGCAGGGGTGACCACATTGAGACCCTGCAGGAGGCATTTCTAAGTCTGCATCAGGACGTCCAAAGTTGCTAGGGTTAGGAATAGACAGGGGAAGAACCACTTAGACCAGTATGTCCTTTGTCATTCCAACCCTGCTGGGCAAAAACTGATCTCTAATCTTGAATAGGTTGGGGTTTTATTAAAAAAAAAAAAAAAAAAGCTAGAAGGGGAAGTTAATTATTCACCAGATTGCGATTTACTTAAGAGTTGAGGGAATGTGAATTTCCTCCCAATAGGCAGAACCTGGAGTCTGGTGGGGGTCTCCCTGGGGGTCGGGCTAAAATCCTTCCCCTCCCACCAGCTTTCCATCTTACATTAAGCTGCTTCCTGAAGAAGGCCCCAGGGCAAACAAACCTGACAGTCCAGCTCCTACCCATCTTCGAAGGATTGGGGGTGGGGCTGGGGCAGGAAGGAGACGTTTGTTGCAGGACACTGAGAATTTAAAAGGGACAGCAAAATCACAAAACTCTCAACTAAAATACAAATACTAAATGAATCCACTTAAATCAACGCAAAAATTAGCTGCTTGAAGCCAGGCCAGCTCAGCCCACTGCCTAGCTGATTCAATCACATTTTACAAAGGAAAAAAATCCAAGAAAAGCTGGGCATGGTGGCACACGCCCATAATCACAGCACTCGGGAGGCTGAGGCAGGAGGACTGATGGGAGTTCCAGGCCATAATGGGCTACATAGTGAGTTCAAGGCCAGCCTGGACTATGTAGTGAGACCCTGTCTCAAAAAAACAAAACCAGGGCCAGGGATTTAGCTCAGTGGTTCCACTGCCTGCCTTGAAAGCACAAGGTCCTGAGTTCGATCCCCTGTACCCCCACCCCCAAATCCCTAATCACTCACTTCCCTCAAAGAGAAGAAGCATCAAGTCATTTCCTAAAAATCCCTAAAGCCCTGGCCAGCTACAGACAGAAAGAACCATGGCCTGAAGGAGAACTACAAAACCAGGCCAGGGGTCCTACCAGTTTCCATCTGCCTTATTCCCGTCATCTTAAGTTCCGCCATCCCCAAGCCTGTCCCTTCCAGGGTGGGTATAAAACACCAGCTTGGCAGGCTTTTCTTCTCCAGCCCACTCCTGTGGATGTTTTAAACTATTCTGGAGATTTCCATTTCACTTACTTTCGATACTGATCTCCAGGGCTGGGAGAAGAGTTGGTTCAAAGGGAGAACTCTGTTTTCTCAACCTAATTCAGTGCCCCGAAGACAGCATTTTTATTTAGGGGTAAGGCCTTCAGTTAGAAGTCTCACTAATTCCACTCCCAGACTATAGTCTCAAAATTCAGAATTTGTCAAGAATCTCTGAAATCTACCTTAGCGTCAAAGAAACTTTTCTCTTATAATTCTTGCGTCTGCATATTCCACTAACCAGAGCCTGCAGGACAGCGCTTGCATAGCCAAAATCAGCCAACAGCTGAGCTCCTGGGCCCAATCCTGCCTTAGTGACCCCAAAGCTCTCCTCACTGCCCTTTGTACCTCTGTTTCCAGCCCTACATGCTACCAACACATCAAATCGGCATGGCTCCCACAAGGACGTCTCTGTACAAGGCGTACAGAGGTCACAGAGCCTGTGGGAAAATGCCTTTTTCATGGGTCTCTGCACAACTTCCCAAGAGGTGAGCTGACCTGGCCAGGCAGTTTCTCCCTTTTCCTCCTCTATGCTTCTAGAAATCTGTTTCCCAAAGCCAAAAAGAGGGCCAGAGGTGCCCCATTTTGTCAACTTGCCCTTCACACAATTCAAGTCACCTCACCACATGTCCTCAAATGTTTTTGCAAGGCTTCCCCTGACAAGACAGCCAAAACACAACGCAAAAGGACAAGACTTCCCAATATCCATCAACTTCAAGTTTTAGGGGTTGCTGGGGTTTTTCTTGGGGGGAGGAGATAGAATCAAATTTATTTGAGGAATATAGGTTAAGGAAGAATTTCATCATAAAACTTGAAGAGGGATGGCATGGGACACCAATGTTGGGTGTATCAAGGAACAAAACACCAGCCGGTTGGGGGGAGACATATACGAAAAGATGCATCTTTAAAGACAGAGTTTTGGGGGAGGGCCAGAGGCTTTCTATTCCACAGGAGCTAAACCTTCACATCCAATCCCACCTCTCCAGAAGCAGGTCTAGAAATCAAGCTGGACCTGCCCACCCCAAGCTCAAGGTTGCCGCCCTGGAAAGCCCGAAAGCCAGGCCTCGGTGGGCGGGCTGGGCTCGGCCATGGGGACAGAGAGGCTGTCTGTCTGTCCCCTCACCCCAGCTGGCCCCAGCGAGGTCCACCTCCACAGGAGAGCACAGCCCCCAGGTAACGTCCGCCTCACAGCGAGCACACTGCCATTCCTCCTGCGAAGCGCGGGGGTCCCCAATCGGCGTTCGTGCGACTTGCCACCCTTTTCTCCAGTCGGGGGAAGGGCGCGAATGTACGCCCCGGGGCTGAGCCCAGGGGAGCCGGGCTGGGGCGAGGAGAGCGGAGGAGACGCCGGTCCTGGGGGCCGAGGACTGGGACTTTGTAGGCCAGTTGAACCGACACCCTCATCTCGCCCGCAAAGACCCAGCCCTCAGCTCCCGTCCGCCTCGGAGTTCGGGGGGCGCTGCGTCCCCGACGGGCTTCCTCAGGCCGCCCGCTCTTTACACCGCGTCCCTCAGAGAGGTCACCTGTCCCGCCAGCCCTCGGCCGGCGACAGGCTCTGAAGCCAGCCCTCGAAGGGTTACACGACACTTGGCGCGCGCCAATGCTCCCAGGCCACCGGGCCGCCCTCGCGCAGGCTAAAGGAGAGTGCGGGGTGGGGGAGGCGCGGGGCCCGAGTCTTCCACCCGCGTCCCCCCCGGGCGCACGAGTTCCGCGTCGAGAAACTTCACCGCGCGCCCGCGCCTCGCCCACGCCGCGCCGCCGCGTTACCTGCGCTCCGCTCGGAGAGGGGGGGGGGCGGGAACCCTCACCCGCCGCGGGCCACGCCCTCCGCACGCGAGTCCCCGCCGCCGCCGAGACGCTGGTGGCTCAGCCGCGAGCCGGGGCTCCGCGCCCCGACGTTCGGGCCGCCCCGCGCGCATCTGGCCTGGGGCCCCGGCCTCGTCCGCCCTGCCCGGACCCGGAGGCCGCCGCTGCCCAGTCCCCAAAGGGGGCGCGCCCGGCGCAGCGGGGACAGGAGCAGAGCAGCGAGACCCTTCGAAAGTTGGGGGGTTCCGCTCGCTCGCAAGGCCCGACCTGGCTCCACGTGCTGGTGACACATCAGGAAGGCTGCGCGACCCGAGGCTCTCGGCGGGCGGACGCGGCCAGCGCCCTCCCGCACCGCCTCCCGGAGCCGAGAGGACGGCGCCCCGCCCCGGCCCGCCCTCCGCCCGCCCCTCGGCGGCACCGCCCCCGGCCGCGACGCCCGCAGCAGCCTGCGGCACCGGAGGAGGACACCGGGGGGGTCGGGAGCGGGAGCTTTCCGGGCGTCTCCTTCCCCCGCTGCCCTTGTCCCCCTGGGCACTGAGCCTGGACCCCGGCGCCCCGACTCGACAGTCTCGAATGCCCTCCTGCCTGTCACGCAGCCCTTCCCGCCCCGAGCCCCAGTAATTTTCCCTTTTCCTCCTTTGACCCGTCCGAGCCTCTTCCAGCGCTTCCTCCCGCGAAGGCCGGCGCGGAGGGGCCCCCTGCCGGCCGCTCGGCTCCCGGGCCGCGCCCCCTCCCCGGCGAGCGCGCCTGGCCTGCAGCCGGCCTCGACCTCCCCGTTCTGGAACCTGGCGCCGGCCGGGCACTTCTTGTAGAGCGGTGGTGGCAAACCGAGGAGAAAATAAGCGCAAAGAGCCATGCATAGTACCTGGCTACGGGCTTTCATGAGACGTTGGGTGTTTCCAGTTCCCAGTGCTGGTTGCCTGCACAGTGCTCCTTGAAATGCCAGTTCCGGGGGAGGAGGGGGCAGTGGAGGAGGTGTTTGAGGTTAGGGGGACGCTTTCTCCAGACTGGGGAGAGGTGAGAGGCCCTGGAATTCCGTCTGGTAGGGACCTGCTGTCCTACTGTCTGCAGAAGGCACTGCGTCGGGGACTGTGCACGGTCAGCTGGGACCCTCTGGACCATACGTAGGCCTCTGCCAAGTTGCCCACCCTCTGGTCGGCCAGGTCACCAGGGATTATGGAAGAGAGGGTGATGGGGAAACCCAAATAATCCCTGAGACGGAATTTCCCCACTTTCTGTCAGGTGGCGGCTTGGGATCTCATTCAAAGAAAATACTACCGTAGGTCTGTTTGTGGCCTGACATAGACATCAACTAGTTCCTATCTTCTCTTTCCTGGCCCCACAAACCCCAGTCATGTCTTACATCCTCACTGCTGTGGCAGCTGAGTGGTTTCTCTACTCTGACTGCCAGTCCCCTACCCCGGCCAGGGGATCCCTGGTAGGACTGATTGCAGGAGCAGGTGCTCACCAGAGACCGTGGCTCCGGGAGGGGTGGAGGGCAGAAACACCCGGGGCGGGGAAAGGGTTTGGTCCCAGGCCTCTTAATCCCCATTTTGTGGGAGGCCAGGATTAGAAGAGAAGAAAGAGAAAGATGCCCTGACGATTGCTGGTGCGGGAAGGGGCTAGCCTTCGTGCTCTGCTTTCTCTTCCCCGTTTTATTGCTCTCTCCAAATCTGACAGACCCTTAGGATCTATGAGATTGAAGGAGTCTGGAGGGGCCGGTGTCCTGGAGGGATGAAAGGGCAGGGATGTAATGGGTTTACCCAGGCACTGATCCCAGAGAAGCCTGCAAAGATTAAGATTTGCTCCCTGGGCCTGAAACCTCCTCCTTACCCCCTGATCACATCAAAGGGCATGGCCGTGGGGGGCACCTAATCCCATCAATGGAATCAAAGCAAGACAAGAAAGGAAATTCTGCAAATTTGAGGCAGCCATGGGACTCAGTGTGCCAGAGAAAGACAAATCCTAAGGCCCTGGGCTCCTGTTTCTTCTACATTCCTAGAAAATTCCTCAGCTAGTCCACAAGCAGCCAGGACCTGTCCTTTGCTTCCTGAGATAGCCGCTGTGGGAAGGTCAAGCAAAAGAACTCGGGTGGTTACGCAGTGGGGCTGGGCAGAAAGGGACCCAGAGAGGGTTGAGACTTGCCCAACATCACACAGCCTTGCAAAAGTAAAGACAGGTATTTGGTACATAACGATACCAGTGGTATTCTAACATGGCCAAAATGGCAACGGTGGTATGCACATTGCTGAAGTTAAAAATACTACCTACATCCACCTTTAGACTAAACACCGCCTTTGCCAACACTGGCTCACAGACTCTTCATTATGCCACATGATAGGGGATGTATGTATGGTATGGGTGTATCTTCATATATATAAAAATTTATGAGACAATTCTTATGCACTCAAATATATATTCTATGTTATCCTATTCGGTTCCATTTTAAAATGCTGCTTGCAAATTGTTTAATTGATTTCACTCAGTAGGGTTACCTTGTGCAGCAGGAGGGATGTGGCCCGAGAGCACATGCCTACTAGTGATGGTGATGATGTTGACAGCTCTCACTGAAAAGCTTCTAGGTGCCAAGGCCTTGGATGCCCAGCTTCTCCTTACGGTCTCACAAGGGCTCTAGTCCATAGCTCTTATTATTGTCTACATTTTACCAGTGTTGTGGCTTGTTTAGATGTCTCCCCAAAACCTCATGCTGTCTTAGGTGGGGCTTCTTCAGAGGTGGCTGGATTTAGAATGTGTGATGCTGGAATTGATTCATGGTACAGTGCTAGGCTCCAGGGCACTAGGATTAAGGGTGTGAGTGTTACCCCTTACATAATCTGGATAAGATAAAAGGGGTAGGAAGATGCTGTTAAGGTCTCTTGTCGCTTTTGCTGTCTTCTGCCATGAACTGTTTCTTCTTTGTGACTATTGCCATGTGCCACTCTGCCTTGGAGCTAGCTGATTATGGACTGAAACCTTTACAAACTGTAAGCTAAATAAACCTTTTCCCCTTTTAACTTTGGGTGTTGGGTATTTTGTCTCAGGAACAAGAGAAAAGTAACTAAGACAACCAGTGAAACTACCTGCCGGTGACAGTAAGTACAAACTTGAGACCAGCTCCTCTGCACCCAGCTCTACCCTGATTGAGTGCACTGCCCACCTTGCCCTCAGTGAAATCTTAGAAAAAAGCCTCGTCTCCAGGGCATGGAAGTGGGGTGAGGGTGTGTGGGGAATTTTAGTGTCCTTGCTGCTATGCTGTGCACATCAATCTCCGTGGTTGGGAGAGAGCAACCTGGCTTGGGGACAAAATTCCATGGAGCTAGAAACTCTTGTCTTCTGGGTGCCCTTTCTGAGTTTTCCTAAGCCTTCGCTGGCCTCCCAGTTTTAAATTCCAACTCCCTGGCCCATCACTTCTTATCCGCTAGCCCAATTTTTTTTTTTTTTTTTTTGCTACTTCTATGGCCCTCGTGCCCCCTCACAGGCCACATAGTTCACTCATTTATTTTGTGGATAGTCCTGTCTCCCCACTGCTGATTTTTGCCTCCCCTCAGAACTTAAGTCCACAGGCACAGGGATTTTTTTTGTCTCACACACTGCTACAGCCCTGAGCCTGGCACATACAGCACAATCAGTAAATATGTGCTGAGTGTGTTTCAGGCCCGCACATCCTCCCCAGGAGCATAGCTCTGGTGTGTTGATTGTACCAGTTTCCTCTCAGAGGATAACCGCATTCCCCACAGGCAGAGAAGGTGGATCTTCACTGAGGCCTCCAACGTATGAACCCAGCAAGGTATGTAATAGGCCCACCGTGTTTCGATTGTCTGTTAAACGCACACCTGACATAACTGGCAGTGCATAAAATGCCCTGAAGTGGCAGTGCAGGAATGACAGGCCCCATATTCCAGATGTAGAGCCTCGGCTTGGGGAGGTGAAATGATTTGCCCCAGCTCACTCAGTACTGATGTCTTTCCACGTAGCTGCCATTTTTGGACTGTCCGGTCCATCAGATGCCACTTCCATTGTGGCATCAATAAAATTGTGTTGGGTTCTTTTCAGTTTTCTGCCATCCACCAGAAAGGGCTTTGGCAGAAGACACAGGCATCCTGTCCTCTGCTTCAGAGCTGAAGTTTTTGTATGTGCCTGTGAAATTCATGGGGCTCATTTTCTCTGCATATTTTGCTCACATGGCAATTTACGTAAATTTTGTTCTCTCGCCCATATAGTCTGGACAGAGAAAGTCTCAGAGCCCAAGGGCAAAACAAGATTGGAGTGAACACTATACTGCAGAAAGACCATACTGGGATTACCAGTTTTGCCAGCATTTAGGACCTGCTTTAGTCCCTCACTGCCTGTACAATCTCTTGCCTCTGGCCCTCAGTTTCCTTGTTGGCAAATTGGTTTTCTCTACAACCTCTCCCAGCTTGATTGTTCCGTAACTGCAGGACGAGAAGTGGTGATTGACTGATCAACTGATTGATTTTATTGACTTCATTCAGCCAACATGTAAAAAGAGCCCCCTCCTTTGTCCACCAGGTCCCTTGAGAAGATATGATCTTTGCCCTCAGGAAAGAGGAGAGGGGGCCAGGGATTTAGCTCAGTGGCATTGCTGCCTGCCCCAGAAGCACAAGGTCCTGAGTTTGATCCCTAGGACTGCAAAAAAAAAAAAAAAAGAGCAGAGGGACAACTTCTCCACCAAGGAGTCAATTTTCCACAGGTGTGTAGCATTGTGGCTCAGCAACATCATGGCTGTGCTTCAGACTGGCTTTGATTCTCCTGAATAATGGGGCGGGGGCTGCGCAGTTCTGTGGAGAAGGGTGGCAGTCCTGGGAAGTGAGTGACACGGTATCACTGCTGACCAGGTGTGGCCTTTTCACACAAGGGTCCCTGAAAGGCTTTGGCCAGAGCCCTGTGAGTCTCTGCCCTTGCCTCTTGCCTTACTTTCGCATCACTAAGACGTAATACCTGACACCCACAGCTAAAAGGAAGAAAGGTTCATTTGGCTCACAGTTTGTAGAGGTTTCAGTCCACAGTTGGCTGGCTCCAAGGCAGGGCAGAATGGCAAAGGAGAAACAGTTCATGGCATGGGAGAGAAGAAAGCTCTCAGCCTGGCAGTGGGAAGCAGGGAGAGATCAAGGGAAGAGGAGGGACATAGAGCCTCCCAGTGACCCACCACCTCAGGCCAGGCTCCACCTCCCAACATCACATTTAGCTATAAACTCATCAGTGGAGTGGATATCACACTCCCATGATGCAGTCACTTCCCAAAGCCTCACTAATGAGCACATGAGGCTTTGGGGGGCACATCCAGGTATAAACCATAACACCTCCTATGCCAAAACTGATTCTTGTCTTTACATTT